GATTCAAAAACTCATGGAATAAACTATGAACAGGAAACACACACACACACACACACACACATACACACACACAAAAACTTGTTAAATATATATACAGATCAGAAATGTTCAGTTTGATAACACAGGTGTGTTTTTCTCACCTGCAGCCCCTCAGAAGAACAAACCCTGGATGTCTGACCTCGTCCCCACAACGGACTCCTTCCGGCAGAAGCTCAAGAGTAAAGATGTGAAGTGAAAATAAAAAYGTCTTAATGAGCGTTTATAACAACTTGTTATAGCATGCTGTTCAGATTACAGTAACAACTAAAATAAACAAAGATATAATCCATGTGAGTTTAAATGTCACATTTAATCCTTCATATTTCTTTGTTGTGTTTCAGATTTATGGAGTGACAGAGGAGTCTTGTGGAAATCGCGTGGCTCTGTTGATCACGAACAGAAACTTTGCTGTTGCCAAACTAACCAGAAAAGGAGCCGAGAAAGACGAGGAGAACATGTTAAAACTGCTCCAGTCTTTGAAATACGACGTGGTGAAACACAATGACCTGACTGGGAAGGTACCTTTAATCACAAGCATGTTGGATTAACTCAACCAAGTTATGTCAAGTGGTTCATTAATTTATATTATTTATGTTTTATATTTCAAACTTTATTCATTTCTTAAAAGCAAAATGTACAATAAAAAAAAACAAAAAATGAAATGAAAGGTGGCAGAGAGAAAAAATGTTATTACATATGCACTTTTTTCCTCAAGTATAAATTCAAACCGTAATGATCTTCAGTTAACAAAACAAAACCATCAAATCTGTCTAGAACAACAAATTATATGGATACAGATTATATCGTTTCATTTTTTTTTAACAATCTAGCCTTTATCATTCTTTTAAACATACAGTGGTTTGATTGATATCATCTTCCAGATTATAAATTAATCCAACACATCTATTTTTTGAGTGTTTAATTACCTCTGACGCTTCAGGTCAGATTAACTCAAGCTAGACTCCATGGGAAAAATAAGTCATTTTTATCTTTTAATTTTAAAAAAGAACAGCCTGTAGATTATTGTAGATATGATTAAAAAAGCTGCAGCTGGTCGACCAGATTTCATCAGCTTCATCTCAGATTAAAGCATTTTTATTCCTGATGGGAACTGAGTACATTGCATGACAACTCTGCTAGTGTGTGTGTGTGTGTGTGTGTGTGTGTGTGTGTGTGTGTTTACATGTGTAAACAAGCTCTTTTTCTAATTTTGCCAGAAGCACATCATACCTAAAGTTTCACTGCCTGTCAGGACAGAGGACTGAATTTTAAAAGGAGCAATTTTTCAGCAGAAGTCTTTGATCAGGAGCCAACAAATCTAATTAAAAAATTAATTAATTAAACAGAGAGAGAGAATTTTACTCCCTTGAGAACTCAGGAGTCTTGACTGACTGAAGAGGGCAGAGGAAGCTGAAATTAAAGCTAAATTTYAAATTACTAGCTAATAGCAGCAAAACTCTAGCTAAAATCCAAGCTAAAATCTTAAAGTAACAAAGTGTCAGCTGAAAGTAATAAAAACTAGCTGAAAGCTAAACAAAGCAAAGTGTTAACTAAAAGCACTACAAGATTATCCATAAAGGTAAGTGTAGTGARCAGCTAGCTAAAATCAGCAAAAAAGGTTAAGGTAGTAAAATGCTGGCTAAAAGCAACTTAAGCTTAGCTGGAGTCTAAAAGTAGCAAAAGCCAAGCTAAAAGCTTAAATCAACAAAATCAAAAAGGGCCATCGATGGCCCTATTTTGCATGTGACTAACCTGTTTGTCCATGTGGAGGCAGGGCTTATAAGGCTGAGTTTCATCTGAAACTCATCAGACTGAAGAAGTCTCTTGGAGGAGAGACGAAACGTTTCACTAAAGAAGAACCCATCCAGAGGAAATATTTTTTTGATATTTTTCTACCTGGATAACTGAGCTGCATCAGGAAATCAACAAAATTTTAGCTAAAAGTTAAAGGTATTAAATTAATAGCTAAAAGAAATAGGCTGTTAGCTAAAAGGTAAATGCAGCCAAAGAGCAGCTAAACTTAGAAAAAGGGCTGAATAATTTGTCCATTTTGTAAATCCTGTGACTTCCTGTCTTCTTCCAGGAGATTGATGATGCTCTCTCTGCTTTCTCCAAACACCCCAAACTGAAAAACACCGACAGCGTGTTCGTGGTGATCATGTCTCATGGGAAGCTGGGATTTGTTCTTGGTGTCAAACACAGAGAAGAAGAACCGGATCAGTTCCCTGTTGACAACATCTACAAGTACCTGGGATCAAAGAACTGTCCCGCACTGATGGACAAACCCAAGATCATCATCATCCAGGCCKGCAGAGGAGGTGATCACCATCGTTCAGCTGGTCAGAGCTACAGTTTGAATCTTCCACATTAAAATTTTGCCTCTTGTGTTGCAGAATCTGGTGGCTCTACGCTCGTTAGCGACTGCGCCAACGTGGTCTCTGATGACATCTCACAGCTGGTTCTCGACGACAACATTGTAGATGATGCTCTTCGATGCGTTCACAAGAAAAAGGACTTTATTTCCCTGCTGTCCAGCACTCCTGGTCAGTTTGTCTTTAAATCATAAACACCTGAAGTTAAACATCAGTTATTATTAATCCAATGGAACAAAAYATTTCTTGCAGACACGGTTTCATACAGACAAGAAGATCGGGGGTCTTTCCTGATTCAGTACATTGTTGAAGTGTTCAACACCTGCTCCCACGAGGACGACATCGATGAGCTTTTCAGAAAAGTGAGTCATCTTTAGGTTTGAATGACAAAATATACAGAGAGAAATAAGCAAAAATGTTTATTTCTTCTCGTTTTAATCTGCAGGTCATGCAGCGCTTTGAGGAGTTTCCCTCTGAGACTAAAAGACAAATGCCAACCAAAGACAGATGCACTCTGACCAGACGCTTCTACCTGTTCCCAGGACTGTGAGACACCGAGACAGCACAGCAACAATAAATCTGCTTTACTTTATGAGAAGCTATCGTTTAAAAATATATATTTATGTCATTAAATGTGATTAATAATTGCTCAGGTGATGTTCAAGATTTGGCTTTAGCAGATCAATTAGACAAAAATGGAACAAAAATATTTGAACACAGACAAGATTTTAATAGATTCGTAGCTGCAATCAATATAATCTTTTATTCCGAAAACGCCAGTTTTCTTCTCATTTGGAGACTTTAAGTCAACAGCATTTGTTTTTAAAATACCATTTTGTAAAGCTAGACTTTAAAAACTATCAAAATGAGTTAAAAATAAAGAAAAAGGCTCAGTCTGTCTCATTCATTTGACAGTTTTACTGTAACCGACTCTGACCCTGCCACGTCGAACAAAAAGTAGAAGTCGGTGCAACCAGACCATACCCGAGCAGCCCGAGCATGCGTTACGTCATCATTTCAACATGGCTGCCGTGCCCATGAAACTCTTTACTTTTATGACTTTTTTTTAGCAGTTCTGTGTTGTTCGTTTTACATTATGTCAGACATACTTGTAGTGCTTTATAGTGATTATCAAAACATATGTTTTGTTCCGATACAACTGGAACGCAGCATTTGCAAATATACTAGAAAGAAAGGAGAAAGAGACAGGTGGAGCAGAGAAACTTAGAGGGGAAAAGTAAAACGTTTGTGGGAGTTGCAGCGAAATGAGTTAAATAAACAGATATTTTGTGTGATGGAGGGGCCGAGGTCAGCAGAGACACACAGACCCAACAGCACCAGGTTAGCTGCTCGGTCTACACGCACCATCATCCCAGACTTTATATGTTTGTTTTCTGAATGTGTTCAGAGCTCACAGAACATTAAACACAACATATCAGGAATGTTTCACCATTCCTGCAGAAATCTTTAATCTCCTTAAATAACAAATTAAAATCAGTCCATACTGACTGACTAGAAAAATACACATTTTCTTTAATGTAAAAAAGAACATAATATGCATGATCTTTGTTTTTTGTCACTTTTCCTTTTTCACTTTTTTTTGACTGCATCAACTCTGTTACATTACAGAAGTTTCACCAAAGTGAAAAATAAATCTGTCGATCTGTGTTTGATTACTCTGACTGGCTTTCTCAGAACTTATTTAAAGTGGTTCAAAGCACAACACTCACACAAAACATAGTTTCCCAAATAGACTTTTACTTGAAAAAGACAAAACTCCAGTTAAACAAAGAAATCCATGTTGTCACAATACAACACAAAGGCAACAAGTCGAGTAGGCAACATGGCAACATGGTTGATGTTTGTGCACATCTGATGTGTCCCAACAAACGCCGACAGGGTCACTCGGAGCTTTAAACGGCCACAGACTCTTCGAGTCGAACAAAACAAACAAAAAGAAGAAAAGCGCAGCGTTTAAAGCTCGGGACATAAATTAAGGGTATTTGTCATTCACAGACCAGAACCAGCCTCACTGGGACATAGTGGCAGTGTCAGAGAGCTTCATATCAGTGTTAAAATAAGACAAAAACAAAAAGGCAGCTGAAAACAAACTCCTGTTTCACCCATTGACCCCCATTCACACGCAAGTTAGCTACAGTTGAACATATAAACATGCATGCATGCACTCACACTCAACACTAGAAATACAGTCCAAAATGCTGCCTAGCAGGTAAGGCCAGATGAAAAATAAGTACAGCACATCTGCTTTAGTCATCTGTTAAAAAAATCATACAGAGAATGAAGTTTGGCAGTGATCAAAACATCATCAGTACAGACATGCTCTTTTTGTTGTTGTTCCCTCTTTGCATCAGAATTCAAAACAGACAGAAAGAAAAACATGCAGAGCATCTGAAGTCAGGTCAACGACATAAAAATACTACAAAAAGATCAAACCAGAATCAGATAACGGTGGCTCTTAAAACACTGCAGATGAGCGACCCGTCACTTCGTCTGTACAACAAACAACAACAACAGACATTACAGAACAATTCGGACTTGTAATATCTGCCGGCTGGAATGTGTCCCGTGATTTTAGAGCTTTTCCTGTCCGGTAAAACGTCTTGACGACACTCGGAGGAAACGATTTGCAGCACCACACGTTTACAAAGTAGCAACTCATGCGAGAACACCTCTGGCCCTGTACACTGTGAGTGTGTGTGTGTGTGTGTGTTCTTGCTATCTTTGTGTGGACGTTACGAATGTCGTCAGAGGATTATTGCCCTTGTGAGGACATCTTGCATGGTCCACACAAGGGACCCCTATTTGTGGGCCAGGGCTTAGGTTTAGGGTTTAAAAGTAGAAATGAATGTAAGTCAATGCAAGTCCTCACAAAGATAGTGAAACACGCAAATATGTGTGTGAATCTGCTAAAATGAGTCCAGGTTACATTTATTCAAACAGGAAACTGAAAATGTGTGTGTGTGTGTGCGCTGGGTTCTGTTTTTGCTACCTCGTGGGGACCACTTTTCAAACACACACCACCTTGTAGTGACCCAGTACTCCTTATGGGGACCAAAGTTCAGTCCATATGGGTACAGATGTCATTGGGGGGTTAGGTTTAGGACTACGGTGTGAATTGAGTTTGGTTTAGGTTTAAGGTCAGGGTTAGGCCATTTAGATGACTGGAAAATGAATGAAAGTCCCCATGAGGATAGAGAAACAAACTGTGTGTGTTTAGCTGCAGGGCTATGGTTCAGGTTTAACTTAGAACTGATCCGACTACAGAAGCGATGATAATTCCCAGAATCAGGCAGCATACTAGGATTATAATCTTCTTCTGCACAATGTGAACAAAAACACAGGAAGAAATAAAAATAATAACAAAATCCACGCAGCAAATGAGGGAAAAAGAGAGAAAACACATTAAAGAATTGAATTTTGACACATATACCTGTTTGTATTGAGTAGAACAAAATGCTGTTAAGAAAACAAAAAGATGGATGTTTATCTCCACGAAAACTGGGCAATTATGTGAGTGGGATTGTTTTCTTGTCTGTTAGCAAAATAACTCGTGATTTACTGAATGGATTCTAATGAAACTCTCAGAAAATAATCTTTGGATRTACGACTAAAACTGATTCTCTTTTGAAGAAAACCAGGCTAAAGATGGCCGTCACAGCTAATCAAATTTGTCAAACCCAAAAACAGCTATACCTCAGTAATTTTAACACATACTGAGCTGAAATGTGATGTGKTGGTAGCTGAGAGTCTYCCCCATCACRWACTTTGACTTCTAGTAGATCATAAAAGGTCTTTGTTTAGAAATTTGGCATAAATACCGCTTTAAATTAAACAATCTATTGGAGAGTGACAACTACACACAGTTGTTCAAGCTCATCTTTAAGTCTTCTGCATTTTGTACATTTCACACATAAAAACTACAGCTGGCATAAATAACAACCGTTTATCTTACAGAGGCAGAAAGAGCTCAAAACAATGCAAYGCAAAGAACTTTTGTTAAACAAGTTTTAATATCTAATCAGTAGCTAAGCTGTAAAACACACAAAACGTGAACAGACAACAATGCTGGAAGTGTTCTTTTCGACATGTGGGTGACTGAAGCATTTTAGTGCGACTTTATTTTTTGCTGAAACATTTTTTTCCCCTGTTCTTTCATTGACAATAATATCTACATGTATATTTTTTCCACAATGATCTGATTTGGAATACGTTGGATAAATTTGTTAGGTGTTAATCCTCAGATGTGCTGTGTGTTTTTACAGTTTAAAATTTTACTTTCTTTTGCTTCATCATCTCATTACTGGATGCTGAGCGCTCTCTGTCTCAGAAGTATTCATACATGACACAAAAACATGATTTATTATATTATAACTGATATTTAAATACAAAACAGCAAAAATATTAGAATAGTTTTTGTTTTAGCGCCCTCTGGTGGCAGATAAAATGTAACAGTTTTATTTGGTAAATGTCTTTAAATTCTGCTAAAGTTCCTAAACCCACAGAGCTCAACCTGGTTCTCCCATATTTTTAAACTTCTCTACAATAATAAAAAAAGGATAAAACACATTTTGAGGAGTTTGCTGGACCAGTCAGTAATTAGAAGCATCACACCGTCCCTGTCTGTCCTGTGAGACACTGTGAGGGTCCTAACTGAGCGCTGCTGCCAGGGAAATAATGAAGACCACCACACAGACTGAGACACAACCTCCTATCAGGAGCAACTTCTGCAGGAGGACAAGGAGAGACAAACGTCACACAAGGAGTCAGAGGGAGGGAGGGGACAATGTTTAAAAAAACAGAAAGGAGGGAAAGGAGGAAGGAAAGAGGAAATGAAAGAACAACAAATAAGGAAGGAATGAACTTTAAAACAATAAACAAAATGAAATGAATAAAGGAAGGAAAGGAACAAAGACAGAAGGAAGGAGGCGGGAGGATGGAAGGTAAAAAGGAAGGAAAACAAAGGAATGTGGGATTGAAGTTAAATGAAGGAAAGAAGCCAGAGACAAAGGAGAGAGGGGAAATGGATGGAAACAACAAGGAAGGAAGGAAGGAAGGAAGGAAGGAAGGA